ATTTTAGGGAATTATGTTCAAGGTATTTATTTGGCTTCTCCGTAAGTTATTGAGTCTTATAAAAGAGATGGGGGCTGTTTCGGTGGGGTCTTTTAGTTCTTTCTCTTTCATTTGAGCTATAGCTCAACCTCAACTAGGGTTTCCAAGTATTGGGAGTTTGGGTTTTGAGGACTATGATACTACATCTATTGAAGATCAGATAGCTATCCATAACATATTATGGACAAAGATATGTGTAACCTACTAAATCTATTGCTCACATGGAATCGAGCTCTTTTTAAGCTGGTGGAATGATGAACCCAGAAAAAGAGGAAAGAAGAATAAAAAGAAGGAAAAAAAGAGTGAAACTTAAATATATTTTGAATTTATTTGTTTTTGTAGTAGGATCCGAAATAGTTGTTTTGGGTAACTTTGTAGTCAGTTTGGGTGTAGGGGTATTTTCATCATTTTATAATTTAAATTCTGGTTAGGGGCAGTTGGGTGCACCTCTGTTGGTTTTTTGTCTGTTGGGTGTTTTTGTAATTAAAGTTGTTTTTTACTGGAGGTTGTTTCAAGTTACTTTTTGTTCTTAAGGGGCTGCTTGTGAAGAGGGGACATTCTAGGGGCTTATGTGTAAATGTTTTAGTTGGCTTCTCCAGACTTCAGCAAGCCATATAAATCTCATAAAAGAGAAGGGGGCTGTCTTTGTGGTGTATTTTTGTTCTCTCGCTTTTATTTAAGCTGTAGCTCAACCCCTGTTAGGGTTTTCAAGTATTGGGATTGTGGGTTTTGAGGTGTCAACTCATTTTGTGCCTTCCAATCCCTCTATCACTGTGTGTCTGCGTGAGAGGCTAGCTTGATGCCATTGCAACTGTAGCAGAACAGTTCTAGGAGGAGTTCTACTCCAGGTTCAGTGCTAAAATATATAAAAATCCAGTTTATTTTTGTTGTTTTTAGCTTTTTTTTGCTGTGCTTATTGTCGTTCACGTGATGGACTGAATATATCTTGCTTGTTTGCCCACATCAAAAGGAATGCTGAAGAAGTTTCTTATGGCCAGAAAACTTGGTTTGAGCACTTTTGCCAATTCATCATTATCTTGCAGGCAAGATACATACAAAGCTACCATGATTTATCATTATTTACACATCGTTGCTTACTGTATTAGTGGTGCAGTATTAGCCCATGCTAGCTTTGGTATTGTGTTAACCCATGGAGTCAGAAATTGTAGGTCCAAACCTGAAGCATAAAACCTTCACACATAGATGTGCGCACACACACATACAGACACAGAAGGAAGAAACAAGAGAAACAGACAAGAACTAATGGGGTGTCTATCCCCACCCCACCTTCCCCCAGCCCAGCAAACCTTATCTCTGCTAAAGGGCTTCAATATATAAATAATTACAAAAATGCCCCACTTGATACTCTTATGTAGGTGAACCACTGGACATGTTATTTTGTTTGAAACACTTAAACCTGTTAGCTTCTTTTTTCCAAAAAAGACTGTATTTGTCAATTTTGGCAGTCCTTTTTTTGATCAGTAAAGAAAAGATTTTATTAAATGATGTAATTAAGAGTTAGTACAAACATGTTGGAGTATTCCAACAGCCCAAGTTTTAGAACGTAAATGATTCAGTACAATCAGTTTTGCAGTATTGATTTGTTTTAAGTGGTTTCATAGTGTTCATACTCTAGAATGTGATTCTAATTGCTTTAGTAGTAGTTCTGTGAATAAGACTTCAACCTGTTAGTGTCTTATTTGGTGTAATTAAGATTTAGTATAAACATACAGCCCAAATTTGAGAGCATAAATGTTTTAGTACAATCATTGTTGCAGTGTTGATTTATCTTAACTGGTTTCATTGTGAATACCAACACACATCTTTCTTATCAATGGATGCTTTTGTTTATTCTAGGTTAGGCGCCTTTTGTGCTCTGCAAGACCTGTGGTAGTTCAAACGTCTGTGAATCCTAGTGCTTCTGATCAGGACAACCAACAGGTACAAGCCATTTTCCCCTTGGCTTGATGCTTTATTCATTGTTTGTGGTGAACGTCTTAATGACTGTCAAATTGTGGCTTGTTTTTAATCGGTTGTTGGAAAATGTGCTTGCTTTTTTTAAATAGTCGCTATGGCCTTCCCCTTATCTTCTATGTTTTGTAATGAGATGGAAGTATGAAATTCATTGATACTTATTTGGCCATGTCTTGTTTTCAATAAACGGGTTTTATCTGTTTCATAGAGGATATCATATTCCTAAGATATGTAGCATGTGAACAGGGATGAAGAATTAGTGGGCCATCTATTTCTCCTAAATTCAGGTGGATAAATCCACTACGAGAGTTTTCCTTTTCCTGTTTGACTACTAATGGATAACTCCCAGTTCCTTTAGGGAACTCATTTTTACTTGGCCTTTATCTTGGGAGCTAGAGGAGGTGTTTTATGGGTATGGTTCTAGCGATCATTTGATGAAGTGTTTGGAAAGAAAAGGAAGCATGGGATTTTTGAAGTAAAGGTCTTCTGACAGCTCTGTGCTGATGCTGGTAGTTTAGTCATGGATTGTGCTATAGTTATTAACCAGTTTAAGTCTTTTCACAGAAGAGATTTTTTGTTTAATTGAAGTGCTGTTTAGGGTGTAGGTGGTGGAAGGAACACTGTAAAGCATAAGTTGCTTTGCATTCTTTTATATACTTGCATTTTAATAATTTTCTAATTAATTGTCAAATAAACAGAACGGGTGGAACCAATCAGGAAAAAAAAAATAAATGAGGTGAATTCCTGGTAGAAAGGCAAGATATACTACTATTACAATGATAGCATTCCTCTGGAGGATGATGCGTAGATGATAGCATTCCTCTGGAGGATGATGCGTAGATGATAGCATTCACTTCTGCAAGATGTTTAACCTTAGTTGGTGCTGGATAGTTTGGAGAACCACCTGAAATCTTGGAAAATTAGGGGTCTTAATAAGAGAGGGAGATTGCTATGGAGTTCTATTCCTGTGGCCATGGCATGGTGCACTTGGAAAGAATGAAACCAGAGATTGTTTGAGTCAAAATATCAGTYGGTAGAAGATGCCATCAGGAAAGTGATAGGGACTATTCATTCGTGGGTGGTTACAACCGAGTCGTTTTGTAATACCTCTTATAACTGTTTTTTTTCACCCTGTTTCTTTGTTTTTGTAACAGGGCAGGCAAGTACAGCTTAGATGAATATTTGTATAGTGGCTCACTGTACAGGGCTATACTTGTACATGTTACAGTTTGAAGTTAATGAAAGAATACAATACCTTACTTTTTCTCAAAAAATAGTAAATAAATAAAGGAGTGGTTTTTCTCAGACCTTGAATTATAAGATCTCTAATCAGACTATTGCTTTTGTTGGTTCGGCTGTCTTAATATGTATGCTTATCTTTGTTGGGTCTTAAGTCATTAGTTGTTGGGCCTTAGTTATTGGGCCTAATCTTATTTAGTGTTTTATTTGTCTAGGTGTCCCATCACTAATCAGGGGCATTCTAGTCTATTTATGTAACATTATGTAATACACTTATATAATAGAGTAGGGCCGGCTGAGAGATTCATTGCCGCCATTCTCAAATCTTCCTATCCTTCTTCTTCTTCTCTTCTCCTTCGGCAACTGTATTCCAGCAAACAGATTTATCCTCCAATTTGAACTGCTTGTTCAGTTTGATTCCTAGGTCTGCCAGTAGTTTAAATCTGCCAGTAGTTTAGACGAGATGAAAGAATCTCCCAGAGAGATGCAGCAATCAGTTAACGTAGTATAATTGCCTAATCAATGAAAATTTAGGTCAGTGCATTTGATTTTTACTATAAACAAGAGCCATAAAAATATACCTTTTGCATAATCTATTTTTTTTACCTTCTGTACACTAACATGTTCAGTTGTTCCTTGTATCATTTTTGCCTTATTTTGTTTCCTCTTTTTTTCCTCTCTCTTACAGGCTCAGCTCTGGCAGCTTGCTCAAAGGACCACAGCTCTTCCTTTTGGCCGTGGGGCATTTACTCTTGCTACCATCTGTACTCTTTTGACAGAGGTGTTTATTCTTTTTGTGGGCATACTTATCTAATACATTGTAGGAATTTGCAATTCATTTGTTTTCATTTTTTTTCTCTAACATATCTTACTGAAATTTTTGTAGGCACTTGTAGTACCAAAGCTTGTTTTGGCAGGTCGCTTGCCTGCCCAACAGAATGCAACTGTATGGTTTATTTTTGTCATTTCACTTGTTAATTATTGACTATTAGTTCTTTCTGAAATAAAAAAATAAGTACAGATTATCAATTCCTTTACATTGTATAATGATTTGTAGTGTTTAATGCTTATATTTAGTTTCAAGATGGTTTCTTACTGCTAAACTTGATTTATTACAGGTATTCATCTGTTGGTTCTAACAATTGAATTTAGAAAAGAAAATAGCAAGGATCTGGTTGTTGCTTTCAGCTCAGGGAATTTTGATTTTATTTTCTTGACTTGAAGTTTATTTCCTGTTGGTCAGTCAACCCTCCAGCATCTGGAGACTGAAGTTGGTATCTTCTATTGGAAAGTAAATTGAGCATTTTGGAAGTAAATAGGAAAGAAACCATTGAAGGATAATGGCTTTTCAAATATTGTTTTGGCTTATGGCTTGGAATCCTTTGAAAAAATAAAGACCATCACCCCCACCTTGTTTGTGCCAAGTTCTTCTAGAGGATGTATGGCACCACAATACGGCAATTTATGTCAAGATGTAATTATGCAAGGTTAATGCAATTTCTCCTATGTCAAGGAAATGGTGTTAAATCATCCATCCGATCTACAATGGTTGGGATGATAAATAATGATTACTCTGCCTGTCACCTACATCCTGCAGACAGAACCTTGCTTTGTCTTCTTTCTTGGAGAACAGCAGGCATAGTGACCCTATGGAAGATCATCCACCAAGGGTTTTGTTTTAGGAGGAAAAATCATGCTCTAGCAGTTTTTACATTGAAGAGAAATCATATAGCTTCCAGTCCTGACATTGGCAGCCTCTAGCATTCCGTTGGTTTAACATTTAATTAAGAGATAAAACTGAATTCTAATAGAAGATCTCTTCGAAATCCTGGTTGGGTGTGGATAGTTTGCATGTATTACCCTCAGGATGACAGTGTATCCTGAATGTTATGTGACCCATTTGGAATAGCATACTCTCATAAAGCTGAATACATGTCCTTGCTGTTGTGCCTTTTGAATTGTCCAAGAGAAGAGGCTCAACTCTCTAACATGAATGATTATTTAAGGAATACCATTAGGTGGGCCAAAGAAGAAGCCATTACATCATCCAAGCTGGTTCGCAGCTTATGGAATAAAGTCTTTAATGCTAGCCTGCTTGGTATATCTGAGATGGGCTCCAAGGGGTTCTAATGCTGTAGCATATTTTTGGGCTTAACATTGATTGAATCTGCAGTTAACTCCATTATTATTTTTGAATATTTTATTGGCAGATGTTGAGATGAACATAAACACTAATACTTTGTTGGATTAAATAATTGTTGCTTGTTGAATCTTAAACAATACAACTAATTTTAACAAATTTTGAATCATAATTGTCAAGGTATCAAGGCAAAGCTAGGCAATAAGGGAGTGCCCACTGCCTAGTCACCTAGGCCTTGCCTAGGCATGGATTCAAAAAATAAAAAAATAAATAGAAAAGCTAAACTGTAGGATAAGAAAGCGCCTGCTGATTTGGGGTAGGGTTTAATCTTTAAGGTTTTTTTTTTTGGGTGCTTTCTGGCCTGGGGAAAGTTACATCTTCCTCAATTCACATTTACTCACCCCTGGTGTTCTAATATACAATACAAGGACAAGAAAAAAATATAGAAAAAAGAAAGAGAAAATGTTTTTTATTTCTTTTTACTTGGGCTGCAGAGAAAAAATATGTCCTGTATACAGAGAAAAACTAGTTGTATTATTGTGATAGCTGCAACTTTTTTGTTCTTTTGAGCAGGTCAATCTAGATCCTAACATAAGAAATGTACAAGAACTTAAATCCTGGCCAGAGTTTCACAATGCTGTAGCTGCTGGGTTAAGGCTGGCTCCTTTTCAGGTTAATCCATAGTTGTCCAATGACATGCATTAATTTTCTGGCAACTCTGCAGATGTCTATATTTATTCATTTTAGCACTAATGTTTGACTACTATTTTCCCTCTCATGTTTGGTTAGTATATACTGGACTATGTTATCTTATTTTTCATCTGTATCTGCAGGGAAAAATGTCAAGAACATGGATAATATATAATAAACCGGAAGAGCCAAATGTTATTCATGCAGGACTTCTCCTTGCACTAGGATTGCATGGACATTTACGTGTTTTAACAGTCACTGATATATATCAGTATTATTCCCAGGTATAGTGTTGCATTGATCATTAATTTTCTTTTGCTCATTGTACTCTAAGGTTCTCAATCCCCCCCCCACCAAAAAAAAAAAAAAAGATTCTCAATCAAATCCCACAACCCCAGCTAATTTCTGGTCAAAAAATACGGTGAGTCTAACTCCTACAAAATTTGGGGCACGTCACTGAAGTTGAGTTTGAAGATCAACACATCTGAGATTTTAATCAAACACTCTTGTCCCGTCAGTGTGAGAGGGAAGATCATGTGGAGATGTAGTGGGCTGCTATCCTTTGTAATGTCTGAGAGGTTTAGTGGTTGGTCAGGAGTTAGATTTTTCAGACAATGTCCAGGTAAAGTTGCTACCAAGTTTTGGAGGACAGTGGAACTATGCAATTTAACAAGGATGCCATCATTTGGAAACATCTAACAAAATTAGCACACTTTTTAATTTAAAGTGATGAAAAAAATTATCTTGTCTAAAATCTATGGTTTGACAGAAAGTTTCTCCTCTGATGGTATTTTTACTGTTGAGGTTGTTCACTTACAAGCATATCTATTTGCAGCATTGGAAAATTCACTTTGTTACTTAACCAGTTCTCAAATGAAAAAGAAATGCTTGGACATGTCTATCGAATTAATGGTATTTGACACTAAAGGACATGCCTAGGTTTGTAAAAGATAGAAAAGTGCACTTGATGTTCAGTAAATTGATGAAGAGGGATGGGAAAGCTGATACTCATCCTTTACTAGTACTGACCTTTTCTGATTTTTCTCAGTTAATGTACCTCATTACCAATTGTTTATGGCTTTCTCAGTAAATCAATGTGCTTGCATATCATAGAATATGTGTTTTCTTTTTCTTTTATTTTGTTTTTGTTAATAGACTTTCCTAGTAATTCAAATGTTCCACTTACCTTGTAGGAACATGAGAGCACAACAGTAGGACTGATGCTTGGACTAGCAGCATCATATAGGGGAACTATGCAGCCTGCAATATCAAAGGTAAATGCATGTAGTACTGAAATATGATTAAATCATAAAGGTTTTTTTTTCTGACTTTTCTAAAAGTTGTCAAAAATTAAAAAAGGCCTAAATCTCTTAAAAAAAATGAAAATTACATCTTTTCCAAAAAAAATGTAAACCTCTCAAAAACTTAAAATAAATTATTAAGGACGGTTTTCCTTTAGTTATCCTTATGCCCAAGTTTTTTTTTTTTTTTTTAAAAAAAAAGAAAAGGAACCATATTTGATATGAATAGTATGACCTGAATCCTGAATCATACGATTGTAAAAGCATTGTGTTACCAAATGAAGCACTGTRACAAGCTTCCCCAAGGGAGGCATGAGGTATAGCCTCACTAATAAACAAATAAAGCAGCACAAGAATTACAAATGAGCCCAATACAACCGATCCCTAATTACCCCTTGGTTAGCTAATGAATCAGCCAATGCATTAGCCTCCCTCCCCATCCATTGTATAATCAAACTCATCTGTTGCGTTAACCATATGAACTTTTTCATTTCATCTCGGTAACACCATTCACTCAATCCGGATCTTTTAGCCAGCCCACCACCTCCTTGGAGTCCCTTTAATCACCAGGTCCTCCAAGTTCATCTTTTGCTATCTGAACACCTTGTAGGACTGCATACAGTTCATCCTTCATAGAGTCTCCATTCTCACCGTTCCTGAATAAAGTGCTACCATATTCCCTTCCTTATCTCTTATGACCCCTCCAATTCCGGAAGCCAGAAGGGCCTGGGTTGCCTTGACTACTCCCATCAAAATTTAATTACAAAAAACCTTCAATGGGAGGTGCCCATATCAACCTTGTTTTAGCCTTCTGTACTGAACTAGAAGCCATTGGAAACCAACTCCTCCAAATATCATCAAAGGAGAATTGTCTAAACAAATCCAAAGTTAGAAGCCAATGTATAAACCTTGGTCATTACACAATCCATAATTTGTTGTTTGCTTCTCTCCTCTTGGAAGATCCTAGTATTTCTTTCTTCCCATAAGGTCTGAATCACTATTGCTTTGCTGCTCTAGTGTATCTCCACATTATTCTTCACCTTCTCTTTGGCCACACAAAGGTAAAGATCAAACAGCATCTTAATTTCCATTATGTTCCATCTGCACCCAAACAAAGAGAAAATCCAATTCCTAATATATCAAAGGAATAGGAGATTAGTGAGTGATAACAAGGTTCACCATCAGATTTACAAAAAGTGCACTAGTTTGGGGAAAGACACAAAAAAGGCCTCTTCTTTTGCAAGTAATCTAGGGTGTTAACTTTCCCGGGGGGGGGATCGGTTGACGTCAAACTTCCTTATTAGGAAAGATTACTTATTAAATCAAATATTAAACACAAAAGTTGTTGTCTTGTTTAAGTGTTTTTTTTTTGTTTCTTATTGCAATAACATCAATTTTTATTCCCCTGCAAATTTGATATGCTGAAAAGAATGTACTACATTTCTGCAGTCTCTTTATTTTCACATTCCCACTCGCCATCCATCTTCCTTTCCAGAATTGGAGTTACCAACACTTCTTCAGGTACTAAAGATTGTATTTATGTTTCTAGAGTCCAATTTTGCTTTGTCTTTTATACTTTTGTGATTTGCATTTATTTTATAACCTTTATTGGACCAGTCAGATTTTACATCATGTATCTGACTAGTTCAGAAAAGAAACGTCTGCATGATTGTATTTTTCAACTCTTGCTTGTCTCTGGGTATTGATGCCTCAAGAGTCCTTTTTTGGCTGGCATTTGAATGCTGTTCCTACTAGTAATACATATTCACAAAATGAAGCATTTGGTTATTGCTCATTTGATCTTTTAATCAGTAACCATGAAGGCATTTTGTATTAAATATTAATGAAAGTAAAACTTTCCTCCGATCCTGATTAAGGGATAGAAGGGACTAGTGAGACATACAATAAGTTCCAAGGCTGTCTAGAAAACATTACAATATTCATTTGCAGCTTAATTTACATCAATACCCGGATCTGGTTCCCACATAGGATATGGTGTCCTATGATTCAATGAGTGTATTTGGATTAGGGGAGTGGAAATGTTGGATGGAATTGGAAAATGGGTAAACTGCGGAATGGCTAGCCCTCCTGTGGATTTGGAAGTCCACTAAAATGGTGGACAAAATATAGCAAGGTTTTCTGCTTTCTGGTTTCTGCAAGGCTCTATAATGAATCCAATTAACTAATTCAGAATTTAGCAGATTACATTTCTTTTGTCCTCAATTTCTGTTTTTTCTCAAATAGAAACACAAACTGATGTCTTTCTTTTTCTGTTCCTGGAAAATTAACTTACTAGGGTAGTTACTCAACTTTTGGAAACTTCCTGCCAGCCTTTGTACAAGCACAAGACTAGTAAATGTGAAAGCATTTCTTTCAATGTTTTATTGGCTTTTTATAAATGGTTTGCCATATCATCTGCAGTAGTTCAAGTTAAAGAAATTAATTACCAGTTAGGCAGGTCTAAAAATACTATTTTGTGTATCTGCTGATGCCAGGAAAAAGAAGATTTTTTACTTTAATTTATATTTTGGTTGATTTCCAGTCAGCAGCTCTCATGTCCATCGGGCTTCTTTATGAAGGATCAGCACACCCCTTAACCATGCAAATTCTTCTGGTATTGTTTCACATTTACCATTAACCATTGTTTTAATTGAGTTAGATTTTTTATGCCTTTGTATGAAATCAGAGATCTTGTTCTTGTATATAATTAATGCCATCATCATTAGAATTCTGAAGAATCTATTAAAGGTATTTATTTGTCTTATGAAAATTGAACATACTTTTTCTACAGTAAACAAAAAAATTATTGAAGTATATCTATACAAACAAATGTAAACTAGAAAAGAAGGTAATGACAACAGTGTCCAAGCAGCTTTACAATGTACCATTCTCTACACTGAAAACAATCAATCAAGTAAAAATAAAAATCCCTTCTTTCAATTTGAATTCTTTGATGTGCCTTGTAATATTCTGCTTTTATGCAGACAAACTGAATTACATTTTCTTTCTGCAGTCTGGTGGAGTTGTTTAATTCTCACCATGTTGTTGTTTTCATGCTAAATTGCTAATTATGTTATTTTAGTTGCTGTTGGTGTTTCTATTTATGTTTTTATTTCCATTTAGTTAGCCTCTTGTCCAGGTCTTGTTTATACTTTATAAGCATCTTGTTGTTGGCTTTCTTTTGGTTGTTTTTTTTTTTTTTTTTGATAAGTGTTTCTTTTGGTTGTTTTTATAATAAAGAAAAATCCATCTTGGTTGGTGCTATTTAAATGGGTTCTTATTTCTCTTGCCTTCTTCTATATGCCTAAAGGTGGCTTTAGTGAATTCCTCCCTTCCCTGCCCAAGAAAAATAACCAAGTGCCTTAAGACACCTATGTCTCATGTGGCAATTCCATCTTCATATAAATATTTTTATCATATGAACCTCATTTAATTGAAACTGCTCACTCTCTCCCCTAACCTTCTTCCTACCAAGAATTGCCAATCCCTCACATTAACCATGATCCACCTCATCACTCTCGACCTCCTAGCCCTCCAACATTGGCATTGGCTGTGTCCTGTGCACCATGCCAGGGGGAGAGCTAGGGTCAACTGAACCACCCTGACAATGAGCCATCCTCTTCTTAAGTCTGATCTGTTATTCTGTTTACCTCCACAACTTGACAAAGAGTATGAAGATTTCAGTGAGAAATGCACTGGCATTGCCTCTCTCTACCATCTCTCTATCTYCAAGCTTGAGCACTGGGTAAATCCTGTCTTTAGTGTTATTAGAATAATCAGTCAATGCAACTGTTGGATCAACAGGAGAGATATTGCTCGCACCATTCAACAAGAATGAGAAAGATATCCTTTTCTAAAAGCTAAAAAGAGAAAGATATCCTTTTCTAAAAGCTGAAATGAGAAGGATATCCTTTTTCTTCATGTGTCTCCTGTAAATTATCAAAATTGGTAATTTTAGTATTTCTCTCAACCATTGAAGCAATTGCAAGTTAAACTTATGGGGTTTTAATACCTTTGGGCGAATGATAGCCAACAAATGCCTCCATGCCAGGTTAATGGGAACTAGCCCTCTTGAAGCATATAGGGGCTCAAGCTCATCATTCACCTCCTGCCTATTTCATCCAACCAAGGTTCCAATCCTCAAATGGTCCACCTCAGCTGATCTGTCGTCTGCTTTCAAGTCAGCTGCAGTTGAGATGCTTTAAATATTTCCAGAAAACCATACGAGCACTATTTTATTAACTTTCAAACTTGAAGTTTATGCTAACATACCAGCATGGCCCTCAGTTCTGAAATGAATACCAAATAAGTCAAGGATTTCCAAAGGTTTGACAAAGTATATTTAGCCTACATCATCACATTCTCCCTTGTAACGTCTTCTCTTTGTCCTTTGGCTTTCTCCCTGCCACTAGTGGTCCAAGTGAAGATCATGTGTCCTTTGAGGCCCTGATTATGTTTCCACAGTTGGAGTGCCAAGTGTTAACTTCTCTCCCATATCTGAACTACATCACAATCCTCTAAAACTAGGATATGTCCAAGTATCGCATGGTTATCCATAAAACTGTATGACACCTTAACTGTATGGTTGTACAATACAATTTTATGTCAAATTATGCTCCCATACAGCATTATCAAATCTTGGTTGAAAAGAGATCCCTTGGATCCCATGAATTTGATCCATGGTTCAAAACAACCTCTTTGGCAATCAACTTGTCAGGCCCAGAAGACATCAGAGGTGAGGCCCAAGGCCAGCTTAAACTGTATTGATTCAATGTAATAAAATCTTTATAAGGGTGGGCTGTTGTAAGGGGATACTGTGGAAAATCAGATCTGAAAACTCTCTCTCTTCTCATTTCTTCCCCATCTTCTTTCTTCCCTTTCCCTTACTCTGTTTCAGGAGGGTGGTTCCTCAAAAGGACCCTGTGTTAGGCAGCCCTAACACAACTAGGGAGCCTTATGTGTCCTACACAAATCAAACAACCTCAAAGAATGATTTTCTTTGAAGTTTTTCATGGATTTTTTTTGTTTTTCCTAAATTTCTCTTAAAAAAATTTGATTCTACTTAGGAAACCTCGTAATCCTCTATCTCAATTTTGGATTAGTACAAGTCTTCAAATATAGAGAATTGTTCTCTAGGTTGAGATTGATGTATCAATTTAGACAAGAGGTGGACACTGTAACTGTAGGGAAGGGTATAACACTGTAATAAAGACTTCTTACAAGTCTTATTCTTCTAAAGCTTAGGAAGGAAGGGAGGATGCTTGGTGACCTTCTTGTGTGTTGAGACACCATCAACCAATGTTTTCAGGTGATTTCTTGAAGCTAGAATGGGTGTAAACACCATTGAAGATCACTAAACCCGTGGAGATTCACAAGAGATATTCTTTCTAACTTGCAATTGAATTTCAACGGGGTAATTAGGGATTTCACTGCATAAAGATGTTTTAGTCCGAAAGAAGATATTTCTAGGGTAAGGAGATTTATTCTCAGGAAGAGTAAATGACATCCTTCTTTGAAACAATTTTGAAAAGCAGTTTTCACCCCCTTTCTCTAGGAATTCTTTCAAGATCTTATTATAATAGTATGATTAATTCAGACCTGCCCCCAGTTTGTTCCAATCAATATTCAATCTGAATCATATACACATAATAGCCATTATTTGTTAGCATCTGGTTTGAAAATTTTATTTGACTAAAAAAAGCTGTGGGTTTGACTTTTGAACCCAAGCAAAGATATTTTACTTTATTTATTTAAGAATGGATCATATCTGAACTTTATCTGAATTGAATCTTGACATCTATTTGTATAATAGGATCGAATTTGGATATGCCTAGATATATCCAAGTCTGACCTCTTGACAGACCTAGAAGGCTCTGTTGGGATTAACTATGTATCTTTAGACCTTTTTACCCTGCTCTTAATAGTTAATGACTGGACTGCAGTGGTCAGTTTCAGGAGGTTACTTCACTATGGTCCTTGGTATTGTATGGTGAGTCGTTCCCATCAATCATAGTTTTAAAATTTAAATTCATCTCAACTTGTCTTAAATTGGTGGAGTTTTTCTGCATTGTTTATCTTCTTTAATCTTGTTGAGGATTTTACAGTTTTTGTTACTTGATTTTATTTGTTGTTTGTTTTATTAGTAAGTGGAGACCACAGCACACTATTTGGAAGCTTTTAGAGTAGTGTTTTTTATGTTTTATTGAGTGTTTTTGTATCAGCCGCCCTATAAGGGCTTATCAGTCATTGTACACAGTTTTTATTTTAAGTATAAATACTAATGGAAGAGGGTGGCCAGATCTGATTGTCTTCTCTTCCTTTCTTCACTCTTTCTGTTTTTCTCCTCTCACAAAACTTCTTCTTTTCTTCCTCTTCTACAGTTTTTTATTTCAGCAAATTTCTACTAATCTTTCCAATTAATTCAATATATAGCATGTTTAAACAGGGTTTTTTACCATCTTTAATGTATTAAAAGAAATTGAGTTTGGTATTTCCTTTGGCTGAATAATGTGGTATAAGTAAAGGGAGTCAATCTTTGATTGGTAATTCTTTCATCACTTTAAATTCTTTTTTACTTATCTATGTTCTTAATTACACTGGTATGTTCTTAAAGAAGTATTGTAAGTGGATTCTAGTGATAATATAAACCAATTGTTTGTAAAATTTACATAATTCGGTATCTACTATTTTTCTAACAAAGGATATTGCTCTATTTGGCTTAGTATTTTGACCTTTGATCTTTCCACAGTTACCTTTTATCCAGAAAATATTGGCTGGAAAATTATATTTAAATTTCTTTACAGGGTGAAATGGGTCGAAGAAGTGGTGGTGATAATGTACTGGAAAGAGAAGGTTATGCTGTTTCAGCAGGATCTGCATTGGGGCTTGTAGCTTTAGGTACAAAGGTCTATGTGTGACTGAGTTATTTGAATTTGAAATATACAACTATAACCAGCTAAGTTAAATTTTAATTGAAGGTCGAGGCGAAGATGCACTTGGCTTCATGGAGACTATGGTGGATAGGCTTTCCCAATATGCCGGTGTCAAAGAATTTCATAATGTATGCTCTTCATGACTCATTCCACCCCGACAGAAAAAAATTTCCTTGTTTCTTTTCTTTTCCTTTTCTCCTCTTTCTATGCTGGTTAATGTGGTATGAATTTTGAATCCATTAATCTGTTGCAAGTTTTCAGTGGCAGGAAATATGACTTTCTGTAACTTAATCTATCCATTTTATGGTACATTTAGATAGGTTTTCATATATTTTTTAAAATATATGATTTTTTGCATTTATCAGGAAAGATCCCTTGTTGTGACACCATCAATAGATGAGCATAATCGCTGTTCTGGTCAGGTACTAAGCTTTTTGCTTAATTGTTTTTACTCCCTTCATAAGAAATGCTTTTCTGTCGGTACCATTTCTGATGGATGCATTCCACTGTATTATGGTCCTAGATGATGGATGGGACAACTGTCAATATTGATGTTACTGCTCCTGGTGCCATAATTGCTTTAGCTCTAATGTTTTTAAAGGTATTTTTTCTCTAAAGAAATACTGTATTGTATGTTTCCAACAATAATTTCATTATATGCTTGATATCTCAATGTTCTGTTTCATAAATGCTCATCTCCATCCACCATAATTTTCCAAAAGAGCCATGCTTTTGATATTTTCCAGATTTTCTGTTTTAACCAGCTCTGTATTACAGACAGAATCAGAAGCTACAGCATCTAGGCTTTCTATCCCTCATACCCATTTTGAATTGCAATACGTAAGGCCTGATTTTATAATGCTTCGTGTCATTGCACGGAATTTGATAATGTGGAGCAGGTAAAAGCATTAATATAAACTTATCTGTCTAGTCAATCTACATTCCAAGAACTAGACTTCTCACATTTTTACTTTTTTTTGGTGATACAGGGTTGAGCCATCCAGAGATTGGATTCAGTCCCAGATTCCTGAAATTGTGAAAATAGGCATCACGAGCCTGGGCAGTGAAACTGATGACTATGATGAAATGGATGCAGAAGCACTGGTTCAGGCCTATGTGAATATAGTAGCTGGAGCATGCATATCTGTTGGTAATTTTTAATTACTATTTTGAGCTCCATCAATTTCAGCATTTTGTAGATTATAATAGTATGGGAGGTATTTATATGTCACCAGATCCACTTTTTGGTGCATGGATAATGTACACTAATGGTCTTTGTTTTCAAGTGAATGGTTGCTAAATGTGTATGATTATGAAGCAATTAAGATGAACTATTTTCCTAGTACTATGATGTCTGACTAAAGACTGCTAGATATTTTCATATGCTAATGCATTTATACTATTRGGGGTCATTTCTTGGTGTCATAGTAAAATCTTGGGGTGACAAGCATGAACATTCAAGTGTGAGAACAGTGATTTTGTGCAAGAAAAAGGGATTAAGTTTAGGTCCGTATCCTTCCAAGTTTCCAGATAGCTGRAACCATCATTGTGTAATGGCTGTTCTAATGTATTTATTACTCTTTTACCTTGAGAATTATTAGAAATAGTTACAAGAGATTACAATTTCTCAGTTGGTGTTTATCCCCTTATTGTGTATGCTCTGCAAGGCTGATGGTGAGAGTTGCTTCCACCTTTTTGTTTCTTGCTCTTTCACTACTTCTATTTGGGATTGGTGCTTTTCTTTGTTTGGTGTAGGTGGAATCCCCCAGTGGATGTACAAAGCATTTTGACCACAAAAAATACCTTGAGTTGGCCAAAGAAGAGAGGGAGGCTGATGTGGAGTTGTATAAGGGTTGCCATCCTTTGGGCAGTATGGGAGGAGAGAAATGCGAGGATATTCTTAGAAAAAGAAAGAAGTAAAGAAGATGTCATTGAAACAATTAAAATAAGAGCAGTACATTGGTTGAAGTGCATGGAAAGCTTCTCAAGTATATCAACAAATGACCTGCTGAGGAATTGGAAGGAAGTGGCGGACTCCTCTGTTTATAAAACATCTGTTAGCCATCAATGGACTCCACCAGATAGAGGTTTTGTAAAATTAAATTTTGATGATAGCAGCTTGGGTAATCCAGGACGCTCAGGCATAGGAGGTGTATTTAGGGATGGGGGAGGGCAAATTCATTGCATTATACTCTGGGTCAGTTGGGGAGGGGGACTCTTTGAGAGCAGAGGTGATGGCTGTGGTTGAAGGCTTAACAAAGGCAAGGGCAATGGGAATTACTAATTAATTGTGGAGGGTGACTCAAAGTTGGTCATCAATTGGTTACAAGAAGAGGAGATGAAAATGTGGCTCTTCACAATGAAAAGAAAAGAATCTAGTGGCTAACCAGAGGCGTGGGTCTAAGAATTGGATGGGTTAAGAGAGATGCAAATTCTATAGATGATGCATTAGCTAAACAAGGGGTGGGGAGAGATTCTTTGTTCTGGGCACAGTTGTAAATGTTTTTGGGGTGGGTTGGGAGAGATTCTTTGGAGGAGTCAGACCTCTCTTCCCAAATTGGGTAGGGAGTTGCACCACAGAAGAAAAATTCTGAAGCATCACTCCCAAGTTAAAATGCTAAAACTCCTAGATGCTCTCCAATCTAGTGGCAAACTTTTGTTCTCAATGTATTCGTTTTCCTTTGTAGCAATATTATGTACCTTACGTAGACTTATTCTCCTAATCCAAAGACTCCTAGATGCTCTCCAACTCATACCTCTAAATAGAATTATTTCTTAACTAATTCAAAACACCTAAGCAACTTTCTAAACCAGAAGTTTTGACCAATTACAGGTTTGAAACAGCTCTGTGAACAAAAATAGCTTATAAAACCAATACCTATCAAGATATATTTGAACACCTGCAGTAATTCAGAAAATATAGGAAAAGAAAGAAAGAAAGAAAGGAAGAGAAATGAGAAGAAAGAGGCTTCAGCAATAGGTTGTGGAAGAAGAAGAGAAGGGAAGAGAGAAAAGAAGAGTTTGAACCTCTCTCTCTAGCCCCCTTGATCTCTTTTATTAACTTAATTCTAAAATTAAGTACAATTACTTGGATGCCCTTAATGGGGCGGCCAGCACTAAAGAAATAATTAAAGAAACAAAAGAAAACCCATGACCAACAAACATAACCTTAAACACTACTTAAAAGAAATAAAAAACACTAAGGCCCATTCAGCCCATTCTCACTACACTCCCCCTCAAACTAAGCATAGATGTCAATCATGCCCAGCTTTCTTACATAATGTTGAAGCTTTGCCTTTGGAACTCCCTTAGTTAGAAAATCTTCTAGGTGCTCTTCTAATGCAATGAAAGGAAGGCACTTTGAAGCCACTCTTTCCCGTATAAAGTGTCTGTCTACCTCAATGTGCTTAGTTCTATCATGCTGAACCGGGTTGTGAGCAATGTAAATAGCAGCCTGGTTATCACAATACAATACCAATGGCTCGTCACATGAAACACCCATCTCATCAAGCAGAGATCTAAGCCATAACAACTCAAAAACCCCATGGGCCATAGCCCTATACTTTGCCTCAGCTGAAGACCTAACAACCACTGACTAYTTACTTCTCTAGGAAATAATATTTCTGGCTACCATAGCACAATAACCTGAYGTGGATCTCATGTCATCTACATTTCCTGCCCAATTAGCATCTGTATATGCTTCTACCTTCATGTGGCCATGTTTAGCAAACAATATACCCTTCTCGAGGGTTCCCTTAGATAGCATAACACCCTTTCTGCAGCAATTGTATGTGTGTCTCTGGGAGCATGCATGAACTGGCTGATGACACTTACAACATATGAAATGTCTAGACGAGTCATACATAGATAAAGAAATTTCCCTAGTAATCTCTGAAATACTCCATTGTCAGCTAAAAGTTCCCCATCATTAGCTGAGAATTTATGATTCACATCAATAGGGCAGGGGCAGTTTTAGCACCAAGTTTTCTAGTCTCAGTAAGAAGATTCAGGCATTCAGCACATACTTCGGTTGAGAAATTAAGATTCCTTCCTTGGACCTAGCAAGTTCAATGCCAAGAAAATACCGTAACTCCCCTAAGTCTTTGATCTCAAATTCAGAACTAAGAAACTTCTTAAGAGCACTAACTTCTTCTTTATCACTGCCAGTAACCACAATATCATCTACATAAACAATAAGGAATGTCACCAATGTGCTTCTTCTCTTAACAAAGAGGGTATGATTTGATTGAGTCTGAGTGTAKCCAAACTGAACAAGAGCATCCCTAAACCTGTCAAACTAAGCACGTGGAGATTGTTTCAAGCCATAAAGTGATTTCTTCAATCTGCTCACCTTACCTTGCATCTCCTTGCCATATATACCAGGAGGAAGGGACATGTATACCTCTTCAGTGAGATCACCATTCAGGAATGCATTCTTAACATCAAATTGATACAGAGGCCAATCATAGCTCACTCCTAAGGATAAAAGGACTCTCACCGAAGTCATTTTAGCAACTGGAGAAAAGGTTTCAATGTAATCTATCCCATATAACTGGGTATATCTCTTAGCAACAAGACGGGCCTTATACCTCTCAATTGACCCATCTACATGATACTTGATAATGAAAACCCACTTGCACCCAACAGGTTCTTTCCCCATTGGCAAGTCAACAATATCTCAGGTATTGTTTTTATCAAGGGCTTCTATCTCAGTCCTCATAGCATTCCTCCATTTTGGTGTGGCTAAGGCTTTTGAAACAGACTTTGGGATGGGTTGAGAGGAAATGGAGGCTAGAAAGGCATAGTAGGATGGGGACAACAAGCTATAGGAAAGGTGTTTGGAAATATAATGAGTTGTACATTTCCTCTTACCTTTTCTCAAGGCAATGGGTAGGTCAAGGTTGGGAAACGAGGTTGCTAGTGGAGGAGGTGACGGACATGTCCTCTCTTCAGTAATTGAAAGCGCCTAAGACTCAATTGGAGGTGTGAGATCAACTTGTGTTTGCCTTAGCCTTTTTTGCTAGTACCACCTTTGGAGAATAGGATGAATGGTAAAAATTGGAGGACTAGTAGGAGGAGGGGGAGGAGCAGGAATGGAAGACCTCAAAGGAGAGGATTCCTCCATGGAATGGGGGTAACTATGGAGGGCTTGACATGAGACTCAACTAGAGCTGGCAAGGGAAGGGATGAAGAAAACAATGCAAGAGATCTCTCCCCCTCAGAAGGACGATTATAAAAAGGAACTGACTCTGCAAAGGTGACATCCATGGAAACAAACCGAGTGCCACTAATGGGATCAAAACAGCAATACTCTTTYTGTGTGGAGGCATAACCAAGGAAGATACACTTCTGAGCCTTGGGGTCAAACTTATGTCTCTTAGAATTGGGAATGTGGACATAACAAGCACAACCAAAGACCCACAGAGGAATGGAGAAAATCTCAACACCAAGAAAGAGGACTCCAAAAGGAGATTTTAACCCCAAGGCTTGAGAAGGTATGCGGTGACTCCAAAAGGAGATTGTAACCCCAAGGCTTGAGAAGGCATGCAGTTAATAAGGTAAGTAGCTGTTAAAACTGCATCACCCCAAAACTTTATAGGAACGTGGGTAGCAAAAAGGGTGCTCCTTGCAACTTCCATAATATGTCTGTTTTTCCTCTCCGCTACTCCATTTTGTTGTGGAGTGCGGGCACAAGAACTCTAATGAACAACCTCAAACTTCTCAAGATAGGAGGTAAGGTCCTTCTCAAAATATTCCTTAGCATTGATGCGGGTGTTAAATTGAGTATGTGTTTATGGAAATGTTGCACAAGTTTAGGCACTTCAACATGAGAGCGCATAAGGTAAATCCAAGTATATCGTGAAAAATCATCAGTAAACATGATGAAATATTTATAGCCACCCATGGTAAATGGTAAGGCCCCCACACATCAGAGTGAACAATATTAAAAGGAATAGTTGATCTTTTATTACTTGAAGGATAAGCGTTCTTACAAGCAATGAGAACTCACAAGACTCACAATGTAGACTCAATAGACTAATTCCTTTAAATAACTCTGGAAACAATTGACTCAATGAATAAAAAGACAAATGACCCAAACGACTATGCAATGTTTTAAAAGCGCAAAGCGCAAGGGCCAATTTGCGCCTGAGGTGAGAGGCGCAAGGCAATGCATGCGCCTTTTTGAACCAAGGCGCAAAAATACAAAAAAAAAATTGCTAAGATATAAAAAGAAATGTTAGAAAATTAAAAAAAAGCCAAAAAATAAAAAAAATATTAAACAAAATATTAATAAGAAATATAAACTTAATTTTAAAAATTAATGGTTTAAAAAAAACTATTATCTAAAATTAAAATACATAAACATAACATGTAAAGCATATTCAAATGAAAATTTAACAATAAAATCAAACATATAAAACATTTTCAAGCATGTAAAGACCACAATCTCTTTTTTCCTCAATTGCATTACTTCAAGTAGCTAATGTGATGTAAAACATATTGCATTCTTGATTTTGTGAGTCGCCTTTGTGCCATGCCCCTCAAGGCAAGTCCAAACAAGTCCATGTTCAGGTCTTAAATTCTTAATTCTCACACAGGAAAGTAATGATTTTATAATTTTAATTGCCTTTTRAAAAGATGTTTTATAAAGATGAATGAATGGACAACATTAGCAAATAGGGAGTGTGCACCAAGCGTGCGCCTTTTGAAAGTGTTGTGCCTAGGACCTATGTGCCTAGGCGCGCCTCAAGCATGCCTTTTAAATCACTGCGTCTATGACATAACATAATACTAGTTCTCTTAGGTTGTACTTGGCTTTGCCCAAGCATGTCTAACAGATAGATCCCATTCGCCTTATGGCCACTCCCAATCACYTTCTGAGATTTCATGTCCTGAAAAACACAATATGAAGGAAAAAAGGTCACACTACAATTCAGGGATTTAGTTAAATTACTAGTTGAAAGCAAATTGGTATTAAGTTTAGGTACTTGAAGAACAGATGACTAAGGTCAGGGCATTAGAGGTCTTTTTTTGATCAATAGCATTAGAGGTCTTAATGTCTCCCTTTCTTGTGATAGGGGCAAGAGAGCCATCAGCAAGGGATATCTTATCCCAACCAAAAAGGAGTTGGTAAGAGATGAATAACTATGAAACACTGGTCATATGGTCAGAAGCACTAGAATTAATTATCCAAGGGGTTTTATGTGTACCTGAGACAGAAGCATGATGTGTAGTGGCACGAATACCTGAGTGAGCATATGTAGAGGAAGGAACGGTCTTTGAAGGAGTTGTAGCAGTGGACTCCAAATGACTGATTATTCGGCCATACTTCCCATACTCAGCCCTGGCAGCTGCAAGCTGTTCTCCCACTAACTTCTCTCCACCTTGTCCTTGTTCACCTTGTGAGGAGGTGGCTACATTTGCATTTTCACCTTTTCCAGTATCAAACCTTTTTCCACCATTTTCTTTCTTGAGTCTAGCAGGAATGAGCTTTGGATGCAGCCAGTTGGCGTCTTTAGTGTGTTTAGGCTTCTTGCAATATTCACAGATGACATTTGTCTTCCCAGTGTTAACCTTTGGCTTTATCTCGGCATTGGCATAGTGACCAACCTGCGGCTCAACAGTCTGAACTTGTCTTCAGCTCTTCTCATTGCTCACCATAGCATACGCCTGAGACAAAGTCACCTCATCCTTTGCTAAAACATTCTACCTCACAATATCATACTCCGAGTTGAGTTTAGTGAGGAACTCAAAGACTTGATTTCTCTCCACCAACTTCCTATGTGTTTCTACATCCTTTGTGCAACCCCAAACAACAGTCTCCATCAGATCAATCTCTTGCCAAAGAGATTTCAGCATAGAGAAGTAGATGGCTAAGGGCTTCTCCCCCTGTCTTAGACATCATGCTTCAATTTGTAGGCCCTAGCAACATTAAGCTTTTAGTAATAGGTCTTCGTGACACTATCCCACACTTTTGTAGTTTCCATCCACAGGTGATGCTGACTAATGTGTGGTTGCATAGAATCCACTAACAAACCCACTACTATGTAGTTTTCCTGCATCCACCTTTCATAGGTAGGATCATCCTCCTCCGATTTCTTCTTGCTCCTAGTGATGTAACCCCATTTTCCTCTACTACACACATGTATCGTAATAGATTGAGACCATGCTAAATAATTGGTCCCATCTAACTTCACAGTAGTCACAACCCCAAAATGATTCTCCACTCCATGTCCAAATCCGGAATCCGTGGAATATTTGGTTTTTCCTCTAGTTCACTCCATTGAGCGAACGGATGCAAACGAAAATCAAATTAGGGTTTTACTAGGCTAGATTTACTGTTCTAAGCAAAGAACAACCCTTCAACCTCCCAAAAATAGGGTTTCACAGGACCTAACGAGATGGGGAGAAAGAGAGAAACTTACCGCTCCTACCAGAGGTTTCAGAACTCGGTCCAACCAAAACTGCCCTCAATAGAAATCAAAAGGCTTAACTCTGATCCCCAAGCGCTTGGTTCAAACTGTCTCTACGACTTGTAACAGGATTTCGCCATTTATTTAGGGTTTTTAGGAAAAATCTCCAAGAACCTGCCTTGGGCTTCAACTAAGGATGAAAACCTCCACAAAAGCTCTCCAAAAACCCTCCTAACTGGGCTGCATAAGTTGCTGATTGATCAACTGATCAGTTCTCCACACACATTACGTATGGGCAAAGAAAAGAGAAAGAAGTCAAAAGTGAGAACCCGCTCTAATACCAAGTTGAGAAATACACCTGCAGTAATTCAGAAAATATAGGAAAAGAAAGAAAGAAAGAGAAAGAAGAAGAAAGAGGCTTCAGCAGTAAGTTGTGGAAGAAGAAGAGAAGGGAAGAGAGAAACGAAGAGTTCGAACCTCTCTCTCTAGCCCCCTTGATCTCTTTTATTAACTTAATTCTAAAATTAAGTACAATTACTTGGATGGCCTTAATGGGGCAGCCAGCACTAAAGAAATAATTAAAGAAAACAAAAGAAAGCTCATAACTAAGGCCCATAACCAACAAACATAACCTTAAACACTACTTAAAAGAAATAAAAAACACTAAGGCCCATTTGGCCCATTCTCACTACAAGAATTACTTTCTAAATAACCTTAAACACTACTTTCTAAATCAGAAGTTTTGACCAATTACAGGTTTGAAACAACTTTGTGAACAAAAATAGCTTCTAAAACCAATACCTACCAAGATATATTTCAACACCTTGTTCTTGAGTGGATGGCAGGACTATATACAGATGCTTGACCAAACACCAAAAGAGGCTAGATGCTTGGCAGCTAGCATTTAATTTGAAAACTTTGTTCAGTTCAGATGGGTACAGAAACTGATTCATAGCAAGAGAGGGGGCAAATAGAGATGAATTGTACTGGGGTTCTGCTATAGGGGGCAGAGAGTTGTAAGAATGTGAAGATGCTTGGTACGTGGGGCTTCTATAAGCTTGTTCCTTAGCTAGCTGAAACAATACATACCAAAATAAGTTCTAAAATAATACAATTCTTATTTAAACCTCAAATATCCCAAAGACAAAAAAAATCCCATCTAAAATTTGTTGGATGCTTGTAAATCTACTATAACACATTCATTTGATATCCAAATCATAATCCTGGGCCTGCTGGATAGGTAATTCAATAAGTTATCAAACCAAACAAGCAAGTTTTGGCCTCTCAAATTTAAGACACAAGTTGAGTGATAGACTTGATAGTGTGTTTCCCCTCCAGTTTCTATTTGAGGCCCAAATGACTCACAAATAATTTAGTTAGCTGTAATTAAATGTTTGCAGGGCTGAGATATGCTGGCACAAGAAATGGCAATGCACAGGAACTGCTATATGATTATGCTATCTACTTTTTGAATGAGGTATGTCATGATGCTGCTTTGCATATCTCTGATGATTGGAAATCTAAGTAGTTCCCATTCAACACTTGCAGATCAAGCCTGTATCTGTTACAAGTGGGTGCGTCTTACCAAAGGGAGTGTCCCAGTATGTAGATCGAGGGACCCTGGAGTTATGTCTACACCTAATTGTTCTTTCTCTTTCAGTGGTAAGGAGGCTTTATTATTTTTGGTTCTATTCCAGTTGCAAATAAGACTTATCAGTTTACAATCATTTATCTGATGCTAATATTTTGTAAGACCAGGTTATGTCAGGCTCCGGGCATCTGCCAACATTTCGGTTGTTGCGGTATCTTCGCAGTAGAAACTCTGCTGATGGGAATGCTAGTTATGGTATCCAAATGGCTGTAAGTTTGGCATGCCCTTTTCAGGAAAATGAAATGTACTAAATTGTAGCCATCCATGCTTAGGAACTTTCATATATTCATTTCCAGAAATACCTAATTAAACTGAAAACCTTTGTTTGAATAAAATTTCTGAACAGAACTGTAATAGGACATGCCATCCCATTCCAAGCCCAACTTAATGTGGTGTATTCTATCATTCCTAGCATGTATAAATACATGATAAATAAAGGAATTTGTAGAGAGGTTTGGGAGAAAAAAATTAGGACACTACTTGTATGCTACAACCAGGATACTTATAAAAAGACAATAATACCATTAAAATATTTAAGAAATTCAACATACTAAAAGCTTTGCATGTAACAATTGATTAGAGAGAGAGACTGGGATCATTTGAGAGGGGAAGGACGGACAAGGGTAAATGTACATGTGCTAAAGGAAGAGAGGGTGATGTGGGAATAGGAGGTGGTATAGAAATGTAACCTTTAGTTCCATTTACTGTGAAAAGTAGATAAAAGAATTGTGGGGAAGTTTTGATGTGGAGGTGGGAAAGTCTGTCTTTGGTTAGAAGAGTGAAATTGACTGGCTGATACATCTATATAGGGTTAGGAATTCTAAAAACTCTTAACCTCAATGTGAACTAAACTAGGTTACTATAGAATATGGCAAATGGCAAACCATGATTCCAATACTTAGAACCATGATCTAATATACATAAATTAAAGGTGGTTCTGTTACAAACAATTAGTTAAGTAAGTTTTATTAGGTTATTTTAAGTTTATGGTTGAGATCAGAAGAAAAACAGTCTTTTGAGAATAAAGGATTGTTTAGAACAGATGCTGAAATCAAAATAAAATAACAGAAATCATTCTTCTAAGGAAGAGAAGATGAAGAAGATGGCGGCAATAAGGGTTCAGAGTAAGAGAGTTTCGAACCTTAATCTCTACTCTTACACCCCTAACACTATTTTATTAAGTTAAACTTTGATAATTTACAAAGAGGCCCATAGTTGGGCAAGAAATTAAAAGAACATAACATAGAAAGAATAGGCCCAGAATAAGGCCCATTACAGCAAAGAACATAAAAGATAAAAAAAAGGATAAACAGCCTATGGGCCATTCGGCCCATTTTCTCTACACTCCCCCTCAAGCTGAGCATAGATGTCAATCATGCCAAGCTTGCCAGTATCATGCTGAAGTTTAGCCTTGGGAATGCCCTTGGTGAGGAAATCTGCTAAATGTTCTTCAGAGGTGATGAAAGATAGACATACTTCACCAAAAGTCACCTTTTCTCGAATGAAGTGTCTGTCAACTTCAATATGCTTAGTTCTGTCATGTTGTACTGGGTTGTGAGCAATGTTGATGGTGGCCTGATTATCACAGTATAACATCATTGGCTTATCATGCTCAATCCCAGTTCCTCCATCAATGATTTTAACCACAATAGTTCAGAAACTCCATGTGCCATGGCTCTGTATTCTGCTTCTACTGAAGATCGAGCAACACCAGATTGTTTCTTGCTTCTCCAAGAGACAATATTAACCTCCACCAAGCTGCAGTACCCAGAAGTAGATCTTCTGTCATAAATGTTTCCAACCCAGTCAGCATCTGTATAGGCTTCAAGTTTCATATGGTCATGCTTGGCAAACAGAATTCCCTTTCCAGGGGAGCCCTTCAAATAACAGAATTCGCTTTGCTGTTGCCATATGAGTATCTCGGGGAGCATGCATGAATTGGCTGATGCAACTGACAGCATATGCAATGTCTGGCCGAGTCATGTATAGATAAAGAAGTTTTCCAAGGAGTCTCTGGAAGACTCCTTTGTCTTCTAACAATATTCCATTTGAAGCAGAGAGTTTATGACTCATATCAATAGGAGTAGCAACTAGTCTAGCACCCATCTTCCCTGTTTCAGAGAGAAAATCAAGAACATACTTCCTCTGAGAGATAAGAATCCCATCCTTGGATCTAGCAACTTCTATGCCAAGGAAGTATCTCAATTCCCYCAKATCTTTGATCTCAAACTCTGTATGAAGAAAAGATTTGAGATCATTAATTCCTGAAACATCATTACCAGTCACAACAATATCATCAACATACACAATCAGGTAAATTGTCAGGAATCTTCTCCTCTTCACAAAGAGAGTATGATCAGACTGTGTCTGTACATAGTCAAAGTTAACAAGGGCAGCCCTAAACCTCTCAAACCATGCTCTAGGGGACTGTTTGAGTCCATAAAGAGATCTCTTCAGCTTGCATACCTTTCCTTTCATATTTGTTTCATACATCCCTGGAGGAAGAGACATATAAACCTCATGTAATTCTCCATTCAGAAATGCATTCTTTACATCCAGTTGATAAAGTGGCCAGTTAGAGTGAGCAGCAAAAGATAGAAGCTCTCACAGAAGTCATCTTGGCAACAGGGGCAAATGTCTCCAGATAATCAATCCCATATGTCTGTGTATAACCTTTTGCAACCAGCCTAGCCTTGTACCTCTCAATGGTGCCATCAGCATGATATTTGATAGTAAAGACCCACTTACAGCCAACTGGATCCTTCCCTTCAGGCAAATCAACCACTTCCCAAGTGTCATTCTTGTTTAGGGCATCAATTTTGGATCTCATAGCATCCCTCCATTCTGGAATATTAAGAGCTTCTGACACAGACCTGGGAATTGGGTTAGAGGCAATAGAAGAGAGGTAGGCAAAATATGAAGGAGAAAGCAAACTATAAGAAAGGTGTTTGGAAATGTAATGTGCAGTACACTTCCTTTTTCCTTTTATAATAGCAATGGGAATATCAAGGTTTGGGAAGGATGGCTCCAAAGGGGCTGAAACAGTACCTGTTGTCTCATTTGTAGTTGGAAGTGCATGAGGCTCATGTGTTGTAGGGGAAACAACCTGCTCATTTCTGGATCTTTGCCTTTGATACATCCTGGGATTAAAAAGAGGACGAGGAGGTAAAGGGGGAGGAACACTAGGACAGGAAGAGGAAGAGCAAAGACCTGTGACAAACCCTCCCCCTTTGGACAATGTCCCTCCATAGAGGAACCATAAAAGGAAGAAAGCTCATCAAAGGTGACATCCATTGTGACATATCGAGTACCAGTCTTTGGATCAAAGCAACAATAACCCTTCTGTGTGGGGGAATAACCAAGGAAGATACACTTGTGGGCTTTTGGTTCAAATTTATGTCTTTGGACACTAGGGATATGTACATAACAGGTGCAGCCAAAGACACGAAGAGGAATAGAAAAAAGCTCATTGTTCGGATGAAGGAGACTGAAAGGAGTGAGAACAGCATCACCTCAAAACTTTGTAGGAACATGTGAGGCAAACAGGATACTTCTTGCAACTTCAACAATATGTCTATTTTTTCTTTCAGCAACTCCATTCTGTTCTGGGGTCCTAACACAGGTGCTTTGATGAATAACCCCCAAGTGAGATAGCAGGACAAGTTCTTCTCAAAATATTCTTTTGCATTGTCAGATATGAAAATTTTAATCCTAGTATCAAACTGGGTTAGGACAAATTCATGGAATTGCCTCACAAGTCTGAGAACTTCATCACGAGATTTCATCAGGAATATCCAAGTAAACCGAGAAAAGTCATCAATGAACAAGATAAAATATTTGTAGCCACCCATAGAGGGTAAGTGGTAAGGCCCCCACACATCAGAGTGCACAATATTAAAAGGAGAAGATCTTTTATTACTCAAGAGATAACTGTTTCTACAATGCTTTGACAGCTCGCAAGACTCACAATGAAGACTGGACAAACTAATTCCCTTAAACAGTTCAGGGAATAAATGACTCAATGCAGAAAAAGAAAGATGACCCAAACGAAAATGACATAACATGACTCGATTGATAGACTCTATAGATATAGACCCAAAAGCAGCTTTTCCAAGTTGTTCAGGGCACTGTCCCGGAGTATCAAGCAGGTATATTCCATTTGCCTCACGGCCACTCCCAATCACCTTCTGAGACTCCAGATCCTGAAAAACATAGTAGGAAGGGAAGAAGGTTACACAACAGTTTAATGACTTAGTTAGACTACTTACAGATAACAAGTTTGTATTTAGTCTAGGTACATGAAGAGCAGAAGGAAGGATCAAGGAATTTGTAGCCTTGATGGTTCCCTTGCCGGAGATAGAGGAAAGAGAACCATCGGCTAGGGTGATTTTGTCACGTCTAGGAAGTAAATCATATGAAACAAACAAGGTAGAAAGGTTGGTCATATGATCAGAAGCACCTGAATCAATAATCCAAGGGATCCTACAATTACCTGAAATGGTTGCATGATTGGCAAAAGCTCGTATACCTAAATGAGCAAATGCAGAAGAGGTTGAATTTTCTGAAGGGTTGGAAGAAGAAGTCACACCCTCTAGGTGACTGATCATCCTCCCAAACTTCTCATATTCTGCTTTCATGGCTGCTAACTGCGCACTAGTTGTCATCTCTTCAGTTTGGTACTTGTCACTATCTGGACCAGCAACAACATTAGCATTCCCTGCCCTTTTATTATCATGCTTCTTCTGAAACCGAAGAGGTAGAAGCTCAGGATGTAATTTCCAGCACTTGTCTTTAGTGTGTTTTGGCCTTTTACAATACTCACAGACAACCTCTTTCTTCCCTGAGCCACTTGGAGTCCCTGCAACCCCTTTGGGTTTCACTCCCATATTAGCAAAGTGATCATTTAGACCAGCCCCTTGAACCTGGACAACCCTTCACTACTTACCAAGGCATATGCTTGTGACAGTGAAACACTATCCTTGGATAAAATATTTTGTTTTGTAATATCATACTCTAGGTTTAGTCCAATTAAGAACTCAAACACCCTGTTTCTCTCAACCAGTTTTCTGTAGGTCTCTGCATCATTAGTGGTGTCCCAGGTTACAGCTTCTATCAAATCTATTTCATGCCACAAAGACTTCAGTGTTGAGAAGTATACAGCTAAAGGTTTCTCCCCCTGTCTTAAATTCTTCACATCACTTCTCAATTTGTAAGCTCTAGCCACATTTAATTTTTGGGAATAGGTTTCAGCAACACTATCCCATATTTCCTTTGCTGAATTCATCCACAAATATTGCTGACTAATTTGTGGCTGCATTGAGTTTACAAGCCACCCAATAACAGTATAATTTTCTTGCATCCACTTCTCATAAGATGGATCATCTTCTGAGGGAGCCTTTTTGCTTCCGGAGATAAAACCCCACTTTCCTCTACTACAGATATGAATCTTTATCGATTGTGACCATGCCAGATAATTAGTTCCATCCAACTTGACTGTGGTCATAGTCAGTAAAGAGTCAACAAAGGCTCCTGGAACCTGCCCAGATTCAGCAGCATTCTTGTTTTCAATCTCTGAGGAGTTCATCTCTTTAAACACTTCAAAAAAGATTTCAACCAACTTCAAAAAACACCGAATGAAGATGGAACAAGGACTGTGTTCAGCCTACCTCTATGCAGTAGTACCAAAAATCTGAGTCACACCCGGAAGCTGGGAGAAACAGAAAAAGGAGCCGCACCTTGTAGACTACACAAAACACCAACCAACTTGGTTCGGTCTTCAAGAAAGAAAATCAGAAGGCTCCAAACACTGAGAACCCAGTCCAAACACCCTGCGGAGCCCGCAAACAGATTTCTCCAAAAAATTAGGGTTTCGGGCAATACACTTGAATCAGCCAAGGAGGCAACACAGTCAGTCCTCCTCTCTCTAGAAACCACTAACAACTGGGCTAAACAGAGTCTCTTTAACAGTCTGTACGATTCAGTTCTCCATACACACCGTGTATGGGAAAAGGGGGTGAAAAAAGGGAAAAAGAGAGCCTACTCTGATACCAAGAAGAAAAACAGTCTTTTGAGAATAAAGGACTGTTTAGAACAGATGCAGAAATCAAAATAAAATAATAGAAATCATTCTTCTAAGGAAGAGAAGATGAAGAAGAAGATGGTGGCAATAAGGGTTCAGAGTAAGAGAGTTTCGAACCTTAATCTCTACTCTTACACYCCTAACACWATTTTATTAAGTTAAACTTTGATAATTTACAAAGAGGCCCTTAGTTGGGCAAGAAATTAAAAGAACATAACATAGAAAGAATAGGCCCAGAATAAGGCCTATTACAGAAAGAACATAAAAGATAAAAAAAGGATAAACAGCCTATGGGCCATTCGGCCCATCTTCTCTACAAGATCAATGATACAATGCAAGTTTCTGTGTCCATTAGAAATATTTTTGTGGATATTCTTACCAGATATTCAGCAATTATATGGTCTTATGCAAAAATAATTCATGTCAATAGCTTGGGTCCTCAAGCATGCAGATTTTTTCAGACCATTAGATCATAAGGTTTTGTTGGTACACCACAAAGGTCCATTCACTGGTACTTGAGCCTGATCCTTACTTTGGTTACTGCCATGACTGTAATTTCCAAATCCACAACCCATTTTTCTCAGTAATAATGTGTTTCAAGAAGCTAGCTACATTTGGTAAAATCTTCTCCATGTCAGTGCACAATTTACCAGCTGTCAGCTTTGAGTTGGGTGGAGAAAGTATTATATGGCAGTATTTTTGAATTTTAACTTGACAAATATTCAAATTTCATCAACTCAACTCAGCTTTAATCCCAGCTGTTTGGGGTTGGCTGCATGATCCTCTGCTGCCACTGTGCTTTATCAAGAGCCATGTTTTCTGTCAAACGAAGTTTATAGATCTTTCTTAACCACTTCAGACCACATTTTCTTTGGCTTTTCCTTTGCTCTTTTAGAAGATTCTTCTTGCACCAATTCACTCTTTCTCACTGGCTTTAGATTCTGCTTTTGTGTTGTTTATGCAATTGAGACAATCTTGCATCAGATGTATTCAATGTTCTGCAAGTGCTTCCACTATTTTAATAAAGTGAGTTGTATGGCTGAAGGTGATACATTGTCACTGTATACTTGTAATCCCTTTTTTTCCTTTTAACGAAATTTACCTTCAATATCAAGATGCACACAAAAGTGAAACATGAACTACATTGAATGGTTTTAATTGCTAATGGTCCTCATGTAAAATGGAACAAATGGAGAACAAGGAAAAGGATTAATAGATAAATGTTCTCATTCATATTACTTTGCTGGTCTTATTTGTTCAATATGTTGAGCAAGTTTTATATGTTGTCCTTAGGTGAGCTTAGCTATTGGTTTCTTATTTCTTGGTGGAGGTATGAGGACTTTTTCAACCAGCAACAGTGCTATTGCTGCTTTGCTAATTACTCTTTATCCACGCTTGCCTACTGGACCAAATGATAACCGCTGCCATCTTCAGGTATTTAATAATATAAATACCAACTGGTAATTCATCCAAAAGTTTTTTGCTGAGAAATCTTTGTCCACTGGGATGCAGTATGAAGTCTTTCTTGCTGCCTGTTCCATACAATCAGTGTATATGCTATCAAGTTTTAAAATGTTCCAACTTAGGTCTCCTAGGGTTGAATTGGTTTGGTTGGATACCATTATGGGCCTTACCGTTAATGCTGCTAAATATTTTGGATAGTGTGAAGCCTGAATGGCATTTGAACATGTGCAAATGGATGGTTGGGATTATCTGATTTAGTTGACTCTTAATGTATATCAGCATCTTGCTAGAAGGTAATCAATGTAGGCTCCAAGCTTTCTGCAAGTGTGTCAGCGGATTCAATGTACTTTTTTTTTTGTTGTTTTGATTTTAGATGGGGGATAGCAATGAGTGGATTAGTGACAGTGTTGCATGGACTCTCCTAAGTGGATGATGTTTTCATGATGAACAGACATCAGAATCTGACACTCCATGGATTCTTGAACCTTGAGGGCACTTCATTTTATGTTTCCGTTATATCTCCTAGCTTATTTGACATAAATGAAGAGCTAATGTACAAGATGAATGCCATTTTTTGTATCAAACTGCTTAGTAACAGAGGCAACATTTTAGACCCTATTTGCAGGTATGTAATGTTAGAATTCAAAAATATAAACTATTTTACTAGTATATAATTTTCCATAGATGTGTCCATGAATCCATTTGTTCTCATCTTGCCGAGTCAAAACTCTTGGATAATCGTCGGATTCTGATTCCTGTGTCCATGCCCATGCAGCACTGGTCAGTAATCAGATGTTAAAGGCTGAACCCAGATTTGGGAATTTAGCCCCTACTTTACCAGCTAGCTAGCTGGTATCTGTGGAAAATGTATATCAGTTATCCTGTACTGTCTAAAGCATCTATTTTGTTAATACCTAATTTTCCACAAAATGCATATTTTCAGGCATTCAGGCACTTGTATGTCCTTGCCACAGAAGCTCGCTGGGTTCAGACAGTTGATGTTGACACAGGTTTACCGGTTTATGCTCCTCTAGAGGTGACCACCATAGAAACAGAACATTATGCAGAAACAAGCTTTTTTGAAGTCACCCCATGCATTCTGCCAGAACGTGCTGTTGTAAGTTTAAGTTGCATTACAATATAGAAGATGTTGTATTCTTTAGGATTCCTTCTTCCCAATCTCTATAAGCTTGAGTAAATGGGCTAAGCCATGAGGATGAGATGATATAAACCTTTCATTAATTCTGGAATCAATGATGAAGATTTGGAACATATGGTCAAGCTCTTTTGTGTAAGTTTCATTGTAACCCAAGTTCAAAAAAATTTGTTCTCCTGGATCTGAAATATCTTCCAAACCTCAGTGAAAGAAATGCTTAAAGGGACTGAGTTATCTCAGAGAAGAGGGGGTCCTTTTGTAGTTTCATGTCAATAGCATAAGCAAGCTTACTTGCTTCTAGTTAACTTACTGAGACTCCTTATGAACCCACATTTGAAACTCTCTGACACATGTGAAACTAGAGAAGTGGGTAAAAGCTAAAGAGGTGTGTAGGATAGATATCCCACACCAAAGAGCTTTATCTCTGACACATGTAAAATTTTATTTATTTTGCCACACACACATAAGATATGTAGAATTGCAGAAACACTCCATATGAGCAACAGTAAAACAGTAAGATGGGCTGTGTGCAATTTCTTACACATAAATAACTGGTAAAAACACAACCATCCTGCTTGCAGCTGAAGACTGTACGGGTTTGTGGACCCAGATATTGGCCTCAAGTCATAGAGCTTGTTCCTGAAGGTATTGAAATGTACTTAACTGATTTTGCATATTATTGATACATTTCAATCCAAAATTTTGCACTTTGGAGACAAACAAACATGTTTCATACTTTTACAGATAAACCTTGGTGGAGTTCTGGGGATAAGAATGACCCATTTAATTGTGGTATTATCTATATCAAGAGAAAAGTTGGAGCTTGTTCCTATGTGGATGACCCAATTGGGTGTCAGTCATTGCTTTCAAGAGCGATGCACAAGGTTGTGATCCTGTTGCCGTTTACTACAAGCCCCCCCCCCACAAATAAAGCGCTCTTCTAATGCCTTTTTATGATGGCAGGTGTGTGATCTGACAAGTCTGAGAGCTTGCAGTGCTGGTATCAATGGGAACAATGAACCTGGTTCATTTAAGGTTGATCAGTTGGTCAGTACTTTCTCATCTGATCCAAGCTTAATAGCATTTGCACAACTTTGTTGTGACCCTTCATGGAATAGCAGGTAAAGTATGACATTGTTGACTTTCATGTTATGTTCTTACTGAGAACATCTTTAACTTTTTTTACTACCATTTTGTGTTTTATGATCAAGATGTTGTCAGAAGATAAACTTAGAAGATGGAATGGGAAAAGAAAATAAAGGGGGACATACATGAAGTTAAACACTCAGGATAATAGGAATCTAGCTGAGCTTTACAACAATAGTGCTCGACTCCTGGAAAAAAATCTTATTAGCTATCTAGTGGTTAAATAAATCCATGCTTTTGGAATTACCGATTCAAGAAATCTTTAAGGAAAACAATAACAAGTTAGCAACTAAACATTTTTTTTCCTAATTGATGAAAGAAAAACATCCGATTTTGTTGGCAACCAAAAAAAAACTCAATGTTGTCAATATTCATGGGAAGTGAGATATTTAGCACCATGTATGACAGCCATATGATCAGATATGCCTTACCAAGCAAACATAGCTGAAGCAAGGTAACCAGTGGCTGGATTTGATCATATGCTAGCCATCATTTTTTTAGGTAAGTTATTTATGCCCCCCCCCCAATACTAAGACCTCTCATCAAGTTTACTTATTAACTTGTACCTTGTTTGACCACAAAATAATATGGTTTAAGGTTTATTTACTGAATAGACAAAATTAGTACAGAAACAAATCATCATCATCTAAGCCATGTCCCAACTATATGGGGTTGGCTACATAAATCCTATTTCGCCATTCCATTCTGTTCAGTACCATATCCATTGTCAATTATGAGCACTTAAATCATTTCTTACTACTTCCACCTAAGTTGTTTTAGGTCTGACCCTAGCTCTTCTAGACCCTTCAAGTTGTAATGGATCACTTCTTCTAGTGTGCGCTGTAGATGATCTTCTAATGAGCATGACTAAACCACCTCAGTGTACTTTCTTTCATTTTATCACATATCGGAGCTACTCCTGGGTTCCTTCATATGATTTCATTTCTGACGCTATCCTTTCTAGTTTTACCACTCATCCATCTGTACATATGCATTTCTGCCACGCTAATGTTTCAGACATATTGTTTCTTAATTGCCCAGCGCTCTGTTTCATACAATGTAGCTGGCCTTGCAACTGTCTTATAGAAGTTTCCTTTTAGCGGAATGATATTTGCCTTTCACATAATACTCTGGATGCACCCCTTCATTTTACCAATATGCCTTTGATAGTGAAACTCCGAACTCCGAACTCCCTATCTCAAAGATTTATTGTCTAGCAAACAACAAATCTTATTGAAACTCTGAACTCCCTATGCCCCTAATCAAAACTTAGTTTTTACCATTCCCAACATTTTATATTGATTAAGCTATACCTCTATCTTTCTTCTAATTCCATAAACACTACTCTTCCAAATTCTTCTCCTAGAAGGAATAATTCCAGTTTTCTACCAATTCGAACCTCTTATCTACTAGCACATTTGGGTCCATTTTTTGTTGTTTCTTCAGACTCGGTATCATTGAGTGTACAGTCAATCACTGTATAGATTTTTGGGGATGCTCAGATTGTTTGAGCCCCTTTATATCACGTTAATTAATACTTACCTTTTCTGAAAAAAAAATGCCCATCTTTTTGTCAACTAGATGAACTTTATCTATAGGTATGTCACTTTCAGCTTCTTTGAGCCAATTTTGATTCATCCTTGGTTCCCTGATTCCCATCATCATTCTTAACTTCATCTTCAGACTTCTCTAATTGTGGCTGAGTTGTATATTTTCTAGAATGCTTAAGCCATCAATTTGAATTTATTAAATCTCTTAATTGATAACAGAGATTAGCCAAAACATGGCTGAAATTATGAAATACGATGGCTTTTTTTTATTTAATTCTAGCTCGAGTACAAGTCTCTATGAGCTAAAGGTGTTACACCTCACCTTGTCATAGATTCTCCAAAGACTGGATTTGTTCTTACCTATAGAAGGTCCCTTTCTAGGATAGGGACATGCAAAGAGAGTAATCACCTTTTGGGTTGGGCATCATCATCTAAGCCTTATCCCAAGGGAATATATGATTAATCACAGAATGCAGTTTAGTTATAATTGATAATTTATATGAGAAGATACTGCAACATCAGCTATATTGAGAAAGCGTTTTGAAACACATCTTTTCTTTTGTTCCATCATTGTAATGGTTCTCTATTGATGATTAGTTAAGTATCTTTTTTCCAGATCTGATGTTGACTTCCAAGAATTTTGCTTGCAAGTGCTATTTGAGTGTGTGAGCAAGGATAGACCAGCTCTCTTACAGGTAATTTAATCAATTATGAATCATATTGATTAGTGAAGCATGTACAAAGAAATCTCTGTTGAGTAGCATCTAATGTAGCCTGCTACTTATCTCTCCTGTTGCCCAATTGGTATTCTCCATATAGGGAGTTTACCTAACTTATATGCACCATGTGTAAGAATTAGCAAGAGCAGTTCCCAACGACTAGCTACAGGAATCCTGTTTCACCATTATTTTCTGTTCAGTGCCATTTTCATTGTTAAATTATGAGCATTTTTAAGTCATCTCTTACTAATTCAACCCATGTCCCTTTCTTTCTGCCCCCATCTCTTCTAGCCCCATCAACTCATAACAGGTCACTTATTACATGTGCTCTAGATTGTCTCCTCTGCATGTGACCAAACCATATTAGTTTACTTTCTTTCATTTTATCACCTATTTGAGCTACTCCTAGGTTCCTCTTGAATGACTTCATTTCTAACTCTGTTCTTTCTAGTTTTTTCTACTCATTCATCTCAACATTCACATTTCTGCCATACTCATTTCCTGGACATGGTCTTTGACTGACCAACACTCTGCTCCATACAACATTGCTGACCTTACAATCATTTTATAGAATTCTCCTTTTACTTGGTGGTATTCACCTATTATATAAGACTATGGATGTATCCCTCCATTTTCCCCATTCTGCTCTAACTACATTTACAATAGTAGATGTAAGTGTAAATTAAAACCTATTTTGAAAGTACCTGAACTCTGAGCTGTGTTAGAAATTACATTATCAGCCACCGGAGTATTCATGCTAACTAAAATGACAATTATGTTATATGCTGTACTTTTCCATCTTGATATTTCTTCACCTGCATCATTCACCAATGTGGTTTATTTATGAATATTTCACCAGTATGTGGTTGGACTGAATGTTTGCAGGTTTATATATCATTATTCACAATGATAGGGGCAATGGCTGAACAGGTGACTAATGGCATTTATGTTCCTGATGACACACTCTTTGTCTCTAGTTTAAAGGTGATCTCCTTTTGCCCCATACATTCCAATCTCACAATAACTTTTCAAAGTCAACAAGTTGTCTCCATCTCACTACTGCTTATTGTGGCACTTTGAACTCAGACAAACTAAAAGTATAAGCACTGGATATTCCCCAATTTTATTTGGGGTTGTTGTAGGCCAGGGTTAATTTGTAATCTGTCTTCTTTCTCTGTTCTTGTATTTGTTAGTTTGGTGTTGCCAGTTTGGGCAATGTGGTGGTGGATTTTGTATTCTTTATTTGCTTTCAGTTAATGAAGTTATATTATTTATCCCTCCAAAAAAAAAAAACTATTCAACATACTTAAGAAAATTAGTTTCCCCTAGAATGGCTGTTATTAGTAGGCAGATGTTTCTTTTTTTTCATTTTTTCTTGTTTAACTCCTAGTTTTGTTAGAATGCTTTCCTGAGATGTATCTAAATGGTTTCCGCTAGAATGGCTGTTAGTAGTAGGCAAATTAGTTTCCGCTTTATGTGCTACATTTCATCCTTGCTGACTAGTAGCTTGTACTTTGGTTTATCTCATCATGATGATACATGCATTACCATGCTTTTACCTTGCTCATTCATTCATATGAACATTGTAAAAATTTATGGGCAATGTGAGTTCTTGAAAGTTATGTAAAACTTTATATAGTACCAACTTTACTCATTGATGTGCAAAATAGTTTCATTATTCTATGGTAGATGTAATTCATGGTACTGTGTTCAGTGCTGGTCATAGTTGCACTTTGAGCCAAGAAACTTATGCCTATTTTATTTTGAATAATCTGCATGTTACTATTCATATGTTAGGAAGCATACTTGACATTGCTTCTTTTTCCTTTTCCAATACATTTGATCATCCCTAGTTTACAATTCTTATTCACTCTTCACGGATTGTGTTAATGAAAGATGGCAGAAAATCCAGTGTTATTTTCTATAATCTTCTTTCTATTTTGTTTAGATTTTAGCTCTGCAGCTTTTACTAGTAGTATAGAACTATAAATTATGTAGAATGATGAAATCAAGTCAAATTTTTACAACATTGCCAAGTAACAGTAGCACTATGGATTAACAGGCTGAAGCTATCCACTTTCAAAAATGGGAATTATGTGTTTGTCTTTCTTTCCATTAGCTCTTGAAGGAAATATTAGGTATCAATCATTGCAAGGTTTCTGCCAACAGTATGGCATATGTTACAAACTGATATCTTTTGATTTTTTTGCCACCTGATACATTACATCTTTCAATATAATCATAGAGAGAACATAGGAGTTCCTGAAAAAGTAATATCAGATAAAAATCTAATCAACTTACCTTTTTTGAGCACCTTCCTTAAAAAAGGCCATTACCCAATGTCAGTCCCAGCTATTTGGGATCTAGGATGCCAGCCCAAGATTGTACTGTTACACCAAGTAGTGGCCCCTTGGAGCATATTTCCCTAAGCTGTACACTTTAAAGCATCCTTTTCTTACTGTTTGCATAATTGCATTAAGTAYCCAAATCTACCTTGGTGTCTTTGCCTTGATTAAGTTCCTAACGCCAATGATAATATGCTTACTATTTTGTCATTGCCAAGGAACAAAGAACCTCCAAAATATTTATGACCCTTATTTTATATGCTATTAACTAGCCATCCTTTTCTTCTTTCAGCTTGCATTAGCCTACAGTGAGGCCCTGATTAATGGAAGATTAAAAACTTCAAGGGGAAGCATTGTACAGTCGACCTTTATTGCGTCTCTCAGAAAACGTGTAGAAGACATTCTGAATTATTCACAAAGAATGCAAAGTGAACTCTCTACCTATTTGATTTTGGGTAAGTGGCCCCATAAGCAATCTCAAGGAGAGATGGATGTTATGCTGCTTGCATGGTTTCTTCGGTGGTTTGAGGTGCCACCTCCTTTTGTCATAAAGTCTGCTATGGAGAAGATCAAGCACAAATATACATCTTCTTTAGTCCCTCTGTTGCGGTTRTTATTTCCAAGAACTCACATAAATGCAATTGTTGAAATAGACAAGTCTTGGTTGTCCTCCAGTATTCATAACTGATTTCCAAATAGCTTCATGAGGGAACAGCGTCTCCTTTCTTAACAATTCAGGGCAAAGATGTTAGATGGCTTTGAGGAGATTAGCTAGGAGGAAATACAATGTGCTTGCCTTTGTATCATCATCTGACCCACTCTACTTCTAGTAGAAGCAAGGTTTATATTATAAAACAGCATATTCCAAGAGAAACTTTTGGGRCTCTAAGCCTACAAAAGATGGGGTATTCTGCCACATGAATGATAAGCACCTTACCAAAATTTAAGAATGTAAAAACAGCGCAGAAATTTTTGCCAAAAAACAGTATGGAATTCTTTTTTGTTTTTCGTATTTTTTTCTTGGTAGCAAAACAGTATGGAATTCAATCCCTAGCATTTTTTTGTGATAATGTTATCCTAATTTCTATGCTCACTTCTATCTGCTGTTTCAATGGATATTGTACATTTAGATCTTAGCACATCACCAAGAAGTATTATGCCTTTTGTGAAACACCAGCTAACATTAATGATCATGTTTATTCTTTAGTTTTAAGCACAGCAAGAATCCTCCAAGAGTAGGGTGCAGCTGGCTGCTGTGTCATTAAATTCTTCGTTTCATTCTTACCATGTGGGTTTTAAATTTTTAATGTTGTTGAATTAGAAAATCAAGTATTAGATCCAAGAGAATAATTTGCATGGGTATATCTGTTAATGAAGCTTGGTACCAATGATGATTCTATTTTTGCATTGTACATATTTGTACTGATTCCTAGCTAGTATCTTGGTTCGGTATCGAAGGGAGAAGATATTCATGAAAATCTAGAGCAATATTAGCATGATTCCGCTAAAGTGTCTACATAATGCTAATACAAGACTCTTAAGAAAATCTAGAGTATCATTCTCACGCTCCCATGTCATYATCCTGCTTCACAATAAAAAGGTTATTCCTGTAATGCTCAGGAGTAAGTGATCAGACTCTTAAGAAATTCTGATTATTTTTATGTTTATTTTAATTTAAGTATTATAATGGCAGCTATAATAATAGGAACCAATACAGGTGCCAAACCCGGGCCATGATCACCCCTGCTCAGGAGTCGGGACATAACGGGACGGTTCTAGCTAGACTTCTGGATTAACGTTGTGCCTCATATGAAAGAGTCCGGATCACCTGCCAACAAATTCATACCAACTTGATCTTGCACCGCACATCTTATACATGGCTGGTCCCATTTTATGATGGCCCCAAGTCTCATGGTGAGTTGTGTGGTGTTAGATCAAATTGGATTGGTTCCCCACAATCCAATCCACCCGTGCATTGAGAATATCTTTCCGTGCTTCAATTTACAGGTGGATTGGATTGTGTGAACTAGATTACAAAACAGATGGAGGCTAGATAACATTGGCCTTGGCTCCCTACAGCACACCTCACCTGCGCCACAGCACATCCCAACTGTGTATTGGGAAGATTTCCCATGACAAGCATGGAAGATGTTCTCAATGCACACTAAAATGTGCTGTGGTGGCTGGTGCCAATTCAGATTCATCCGCATGAGTATGGTTTAGCTGAATGCTGTGGCTATTCAGCGGTCTGTGCAACCAATGATAAGGTTTCACGCCAGTAATAAAATGTATAGGGCCTGCACCTTTTACAGTGGTGCCCATGAATTTATTACTGGCGTAGAACCTCATCATTGGTTCCACAGCCTGATGAATAGCCAAAGCATTCAGCTAATCTGAATGGGAGATGTTCTCAATATATGGTTGTAAGCCTGTAATGCCTTGCAGGTAGAAAGCGTACATTCAGATCCCCAGTCTCCGACAGAACTAGAGCCTTGTGCGGAGGCTGGAAATTAAGCAGTGACAGACAGGCCATTCTTTGGAACAATAGGGACCTGCCCAGTCTTTTAAGRCTGCTGGCTGTTGCAGTATTATGATCCCGTACTCATTGGGAGATGTTCCCAATACATGGTTGGGATGTGCAGGGGGGTGCCACCTTGTGGGGAGATCACTTTGGCTGTTTAGAAAAAACAGCCTGGGCTGATTTGGGAGCTCTTGCACATGACACCTTAACTAATTCACATCCTCATTGGTCTTTGTTGAGTGTAAATACTGTTTTATCCACACTCATGATTAGATGTCATTCACAACGGGCAACCAAGACAGCCCCAGGCTGTTTTTTCAAAACAGCAAAGTTTTTACCCTTGTGGGGCGCTGATGTGAATGCGGCAAATCTTAGGAGGTGCTCCTACAGCCCTACTAGGTCGAGCTACACCAAATCTATGGATAATACAGAAAAACTAGGATATTTGATTTTTTGGGGGCTTAAATATTTAAACTACCCTTATGGTTTAGTAAATGAACACAAATTTACCCTATTGTTTAAGAAATTGTTTAAAGTATCTCGAACATTTCTCATAATGGACAAAATCCTCCCCTACCGTTAGTGTGACAATCCGTTCGCATGTGATGTCACATGACATTAGAGGTGTCAATTGAACTGGATTTGGTCCAATCCGATCCAGTCCAATGTAAGTCCATTACAAATGGACCAAGTCCAATCCAATCCAATGAATGTTTTGGAACATTTTGGACTGGCTCAATGTTTGGACCATCTAATCTGTTCAAATTCGTTTTAATTTAGATTGGTTTCAACCCAAATCCGGTCCATTGACACCTATATTCTTATATTAATAGACTAGATATTGGCTTAATCCAACCCAATCYAATATAAATTTATTATAGACGGACCAGGTCCAATCCAATCTAATAAATATTTTGGACTGGATTGGTCTAATCCAATATGTCTTGTTGGTCCATCCAAATTGATTTTCCAAAACTGGTCCATTGACACCCTTACCTGACATATATAATTTTTTTAATTCCAAAATTACCCTTCTGTGATCAATTTTGCCCTTTATTATTCTTTAAATTTTCATCAACCTGAGAATCAAATTGATCTTAAAATTTTACTTGAATCAAATTTTCAAAATAAAATCAAACAGGAGTTTCTTTCACACATGACTAAGGTTTTCAGTTGTTTATCTAAGGTTTTGAAAGAAAGATAAAAAGAAGATGGGGAATGAGCGTAGTACTCTCTCTGGAGTTTAGCTAAGGTTTAAACAACGAAGAAGAAAAAAAAGATTTCTCAACTGGACAGAATTTCAGTTATGCCCCTGCAAGATTTAATGGGATTTCAGCGCTTTCTGTCTATTGTAAGAGAGGACAGCATTTTCAAGGCTTCTGCATCTTCTGGTCTTCTTCCGGTTTTCCCAAGAAAAACAGAAAAGCTTCAATGTTTGTTCATTGAGAGTGGAGTGTTTTGGTGTCACCTCACAAAAGTTTGTTCATTGAGAGTGGAGTGTTTTGGTTCACCTCACAAAAGTTTCTCTGTATTCTTCCAATGGTTGACTTTAGAAGATCAAAGGTGAAGGCTTCTAAAGTAGTTGAGGAGGTCGAATTTAATGATGTAAAGAAAAAGAGAATGAAAGTGATTAGGATGAACCTGTTACTCTCAAATCATTCATACAGAATGTTACACTTTGGAGTGAACTCAAAAATTGTATCCAAAACGATTCATGAACTCAGAAATTGGCTCCACAGACACGGTATCAAATTGTGCTACGGTGTTTCTTATATCTTGTCTACAGAATGCAGAATTCGAGCCTAACCAATCATGTCAGTACAACCTTGTTACTTATCATGGCATGGCTAACATCTTCCACCAATCGAGCCCAACCAACAGTGTAATCAGGACACTCCACCTTTGGACCCACTGTTTAATCAGTTATGGCTGACGTCTTCAAATAAAGAGACGGCCGAAGACACCCAAGCCTTCTCTTCTCTTAATAGAGGAGATGAGAGAGCGTCCAAGAGATATTATCTGGTTTTGGGACTTCAGATCTAGAGTTGTTAGGGCAGATCTGGGTGGAGAAGAAATGTTACATTTTGAAAATTTGAAGAAAAACCAAGGGTAAAGTAATCTTTTTGATCTGTCTGTTATGGGTTTCTAACGTTGTTAGAAATGTCTCTTCTCTTAAAGTAATCTTTTTGTCTATTGTTAGAAATGTCTGAAGTACTTTAAGTAATTTGTAGGGCATATTTGGGTCCATTTGCTAAACCATAAGGGTARTTTAAGCATTGAACCCTATTTTTTAATGTAGCCCATCCCCCAACCCTAGTACAGGTGGGATTTTATCCCAAGTCTCTGCTATGACCAGCAAGAGACCTTACCAACCAGCTGGTTGGCACCTTGCACTAGGATACTTAGTTTAAAAAAACAACAATCCATAGAAAAAGACAAACCAATCAACTGAAGTTCTTTTAAATTCATGTGAATTTTTAAATCCCATTATAAATAGAGAAATCAGTTTGTTAATATAAACTTTTTTAGGGATATTATTTTAGAATTCATCATAACTTTTTTGCATCTCTTAAAATTCATCACTGATCACTACCTTCAAAGTTGGTGAGTTTTTATCGTAGAAAACTCACATTTCATTAAAACCCCTTGAGCATTTGAAAGAAGTTGTTCACATATTCATTCAAATAATTTATAATGGCCAAACTACCAATATTTATTAAATGTTTTTATGACAAAAAATAATATTCCTAGATAATGGTGGTGATATTTTTAAGGGAAAATTTCTGATCAGTACCTTGTATTTTGGCTCGAGTAATAATTTGGTCCCCAAACTTTAAAATGCAACAATCCAGTACCCGAACTTTCAAAATGTGACAATCCAATAACTGTCGTTAATTAGTCCATTAATCAGTCGTTAAGTGACATTTGAAAAGTCAAAAATGCCCTAATAATGCAATCTAATTCTCTTTATCAAGCATCCAAACATTGACTATAAAATGAATAATCCCAAATTCTAGATTCTTCTGAACAATCACCAACTTTTTTGAATAGAAGAGGCTAAGATTTAGGACTGTTTAGTTTTTTGTTAATATTTGGATGGTTCATAAAGAGAATTAGATGCCATTCAAAGGGCATTTTTGACTTTTCAAATGTCACTTAACAGCTGATTAACGGACTAATTAACAGCAAGTACTAGATTGTCACATTTGAAAGTTTTGATACTAGATTGTCACATTTTAAAAGTTCAGGTACTAGTTTGTCACATATTAAAGTTTGGGGACCAAATTATCACTCGAGCCAAAGTGGTATTAATCGGAAATTTTCCCTATTTTTAAGGACAAATTTCTTAAACAACCCTTATGATTTAACTAATTGATTAACTCTACCCTTACTCTTTATTATATATTTAGTACCTCTAAGTTTTCTAACAATCAACTAGTTTTATCCCTTTATGTTAGCACCCGTACAATTTGCACACATGTGACAGCTGAACTGAACCTGAGCTTCCAAAGGAGAAATTCCGGCCTCACATGCACCTTTCCACCGTCTAAGAATAGGGCCGAGGTTTAGTTTCAA